GCTGAGGCAATCAATTCGACCTTAAAGGGGGCACGTCATTTACCTGTAACGACTTTGGTAAAAATGACATATTTTCGTTTGGGAGAGTGCTTTTTACAAAGCTCGGGGACAAGCTCAAACATGGATGCAAAGCGGTCATATCTATCACTCTGAATTAGTTACAGATCTATAAAAAGAATTGTTGCATCAAATAGAATGTCTATAACAAGCTTCTTTAGAACGCATGAATTGTTTCATGTCACAGAGATGTCATGACCTTTTCAAGGGATTGAAGCTAACTCGTTAAGAGTAAATCTACGGGACAGATGGTGCGACTCTGGGTTTTTTCAAGCTCTAAAGTATCCATGCTCTCATGTGATAACAGCTTGCTAACATACCCATCAAGACTATAACCGTTTTTTGGATCTCGTATGCCTACTATCAAAAGTGTTTAAGGTATATAAATATGAGTTTCCCCCATAGGTAATGAGAAAGACCCTAATGAGGTTCAGAATTGGGTTTTGATTGTCCTAGATCTGACTTTATTGAGGGACCGTGGTCGTCCAAAATCAACTCGAATTCATTGTGATATGGATATTCGAGAAACATCTAGACAAAACAAAAGATGTGGGCATTATAGAAGCCCATGACACAGTAGAAAAACATGTCCACTTCTTTTGTCATCAAGTAACCATTTATGAGGAACTAATGTAGTTGTTGTTTATCAAAGAATAATTCTTGTAATTTAATTCACATTTACTTTAAATTAATGTCATTTGATAACCGCTGATTAATTAAATAAGAAAACAAATACAAGAAAACGATAAAGAAGAACAATTCAAAGTCAAATTATCCATCAACATTGATAAATATAAAGATTTGACATCTATTAGCTTTACAACTTTATTAAGAAAAATGAGATTTGTTTTGAGAAAGCTATGGTTTATATGACACATTTTTATTGGTACAACGGGATTCGATGTTGGCGTTATATGTAATTAAAATAAAAGAGATAATAGGTGAGAAACTTAAAAAAATTATACGAGTTTTACTCTAAAAATACATGACTTGTGACATATAAAACACGTATTTGTTCACGTATAAGCACGAGTCAATCGAACAACGATAACAAAAATTTGTGGATTTTGAATTATCGAATACAATTATTAAATTTTATCAAACTAATAATATATTTTTTGCTAACAAAAAACTTTTAAAATACAATTGTCTTTGATACATATATTTACTATTATTATTATAAAACGGTTAAAAAGCACTAAATGATCATCACCATTCGCTTGAATTAAGTAATAAACAAAATTAACAAAATAAATTAAATATTAAAATAAATTAAATATTAAATGGTAAATAATTAAAAAAATTACAATTATTTGTCCAACAAATAATTAAATACAAATATAATAAAATATTTGAATCTATCGATGTTTGCGTGTAGAATGTGTTCCCCAGGGTGGTGGTTGTCTGTCTCGAGGAGGATTTCTTCGTATAACTTGTTCTGACTCCTCACTGTCATCATCATCATCACCACCATCATCGTCATCATTATCGTCATCGTCATCAGGAGCAGATAAATTTTGTTGATGAGGAACTGATGACGATATAGTACCTCCATAGAATAAGGACCCTGGATGTGTATGACTGACTATCCTACCGCTCATAGAAAACTGGGAAAACTGAGAAAACACAGACATCGATGAGTGAGAAAACTGTACAATAGGTGCTGTGCGGCGGCAATCGGTGGTGAATCTGGACCTGCCAAATAACCAACATATGAACCCCAAGCCAGATCTACAAACATAGAATCATAATATCCTCTAAGAGGGGTCATATAACTATGAGACGGTGGTGACATCTGGTATGAGAATGACGGTGGTGGCATCTGATATGGCTATGGACCCATATGAATTGGTTGTGGGGTATACATCATTGCAGATGGTGGTTGCTATGAAGGTTCCGGTGCTACAGCTGATGATTAACTGAAAGCACCTGTTCTTCGTCCACGAGTCGAGGGATGATGGGGTTATGACGGTGCACGTCTCTATCGGCGTCGATGAATACTCCATCCTCGTGCATCCTCGGAAAGCAGGAACGATTTTCCTTTAATGTTGAACCACTCTTAATAACCATCTGCAACCGTCAAATAGTCTACATAAATGGGTTCTCTATAGGGAATGCACCGACGTCGATCCTACCATATCATGACCCACTCATAATGCTTCAGCAGCCAATCCACATCTTTTTTTCCGTGTCGATCGGTGTTATGCAAGTCGTCGAGATTTTGAGGTACTTTGAGAATTGAATATACAAAATCAAATGTTCAGAGCATGCGATCAGTGGGGTACCACTCGACAATAGAATAACAGATCAGATGGACCACCGCCATCCAAACATCTAATGGGCCCCTTAACTCATGTGGGATGCAAATCCTCATATCATCATTACAATAAATAGTCAATTCAAACTAAAACAAATATATATAATTCTTATCAAAATAATAATCTAATTATATAACGATAATACAAAATAAATTTTCAAACATTTAAATATATACCTTTATACCAGCCTTATGATCAATTAGTAGTCTCATTAATTCTAATTCATCAGGTAGATCCCGATGATTTTTCATGTTAGTAGACCACCTATTCAAGAAAATAAGTTTTAGTATATACTAGATAAAATGATTAATCTATGAAATCAGTATTGTAATTACCTCAATAATAGCGGGAATACGAACGAGTTCTTCACAACATGACATAAAAGGGCATGTGATATCATACCCAAGACTGCAGCAGAAGAAGACTTTCGTTGATAGTATTTTTCCTATAGTCGGTAGCTCGAAACATTTCCCTATACAAGAATGCCAAAATGGCTAAGCCCCAACTCAGTGTTCCAGCCAGATAAAAATCGGCGAGATGCTGCAACCACGTACAATGAACTTGGTTGTACGATTTATCTGGCATCAATAGTCCTCCTAGCAGTTGTAGTATGCATGCATGTGCATACTTTTTTACGTGATCCTCCAAGGCTTCCTCACTCAAATTCTGGAAATTTTTATCCAACCAATTTAACGGAATCTAACCATCGTTAAAATTTGGCGGGACACCTCCTAGATATTCCTGGCACAATGAATTCCAATTACCATGTGCTAGCCCTAAAAGCACATCTTCATCTACCGGAAGCCCCAAGTGCATGGAAATATCCTACAGCGTAATTGTGCACTCTCCGCACGAAAGATGGAATGTGTGTGTCTCTGGTCTCTACTGATCGACTAATTCAGAAATCAAGTTTGGTTCTATTCTACTGTGGCCTTCATATCTAGCTAAGTAACTGAATCCAGCCTCGACTAAATACGGCCGACACAGATTGATATCGCTAACTTAAGGTTGAAGATAAAATGATAAAATATACGATCACTCTCCTAAAATTATTAATAATTACAAAAATTAATATATAAACTAATAATAAAAAATTAAATAAATAAATTATTACTAATAATTTAAATTAAAATAGAATTTAAAAATGTTATCGTATCAACAAAATGTCTCGATATATGATTTCCATCCAAACGAAGCATACCGCCTTCCATTTTATAACTGCAAAAAAATATTATAAAATATTTTAATAAAATAATAAAATATTAATTTAATGGAATATAATATATTATATTACCTTATAAATAAAATTTGACTGGGGTTTAGCATTAAGAGGGTTTGATTTTTGATATAGTTTGAGAGGATTTGGTGTGTTGAAAATAGTTGAGAGGGGGTATTTATAGGATGGGATGAGGGGTTTGGGCGGATGGGTGGGGGAGTGTGAACGGTCGAGATTTAATTATGAAAGGCGCGACCCATGCACCGCGCCTTTCTGACGCGTGTCAGCCTGGCAGAAAGGCGCGGCCCATGCACCGCACCTTATGTTGATGTGGCTCCAGTTGGCGTAAGGCGCGGTGCATGGGCCACACCTTTCAACACGTGGCGCCACATCAGCGTAAGGCTCGGTGAATGGGTGGTGCCTTTCTGCAAAGGGTGCTAAATCCGTAATATTTTCTCTAACGGTGTCTGACACGTAAATAATTAAAAAATCAGTGATTTTTCGAAAAAATCACCTAAATTTGAACCATGAAATAATAAAATTTTAATCATAAGCATTATATCAATTAAAGTAAAAATGAATTGATTAATTAATATATATTTGAATCATTAAAAATAGAATAATTTAAAATTATTATATAACATTAATGAAGCTAACAATTAACATAACTCTAATTAACTTTAAATATGACTTACCCATAATAAAATTTAATCAAAATAAATCTTAAAAAACTTAAAAATATACATAATTCAGACATAATAGAATTAGCATATACATAGTCGATAATTATTAATTAAGAAATTAAAGTATATTTTAATAACTCCATTAGAAAGGTTACACTCACATTACTTAAAATATGTTTTTTAAATCGCACAAAATTCATAATAAAGGATTTATGTACCCCTTTCATTTGAATAATGTTGTATGATTAACTTTCTAATAAGAAAAGTTTATCTTATTACACATTGCTTATAATAATTATTTCTTTAGCTTATAAATAAAGTTCATAATAAATAGTTGGTTTTTAATTAAAAATAATAATTAAATCATGTTATTTAAATGAAAGAGATTTAAAGAAAAATAATAAAAACTCATTGGGTGACTTCAACAGTAAAAAATATTGTTTTCTTAAAAAATTTAAATATAAATAATTATATTTATATGTATACATTATCAATTAAAAAATTCTGAACGTGAGTTATTATTTGTGTAGTTTACACCGCGGAACAAAAACCTTATAATATGCCGTACTTTTCGTCTCTCATATTTATCTTGCTCTGTTTTTCTCTCTCGTTGTGGAGCGTGGAAATCTAATAGTTTCCACATCAAAGCCATAATCATCACGCCTCTTTTCTCCATCCTTTCCTCTCTTCTTCTTCTTCTTCTCCCTAAATGTCCATTAACCACTTCCATTAAACAAAAAACAAAAGCAACTCTTTCATTCCATGGAACCAACCCAAATCTCCCCTTCCTCAAACCTTCATAATCACCCTCCAGTCTTCTTTTCAAACCCAAATGAATACCAACAACTCGAAAGCATGTTCGAAAAGCCCTTAACCCCCAGCGACGTGGGCAAGCTGAACCGCCTTGTTATTCCCAAGCAACATGCGGAGAAGCACTTCCCCTCGGTCGGCGGTGACTCGCTCGATAAAGGCTTGTTGCTGAGTTTCGAGGACGAGTCGGGCAAGTGTTGGTGTTTCCGTTACTCGTATTGGAGTAGTAGCCAAAGCTACGTGTTGACCAAAGGGTGGAGCAGATACGTCAAAGAGAAGAAACTCGATGCTGGTGACGTTGTTTTGTTCCAACGACACCGTTTTGATGCCGAGAGATTGTTTATAGGGTGGAGGAGGCGCGGTGCAGCCGTGGATGGAGGGAACGCCGTCATGGGAAGTAACAGCGGCGGTGGCAATGAACGGTTGTGCAGTAGGGATTTGTATGAAGGGTATCCTTATCCTGGGCAAATTCAAGGGCAATGCCATGGGGCTAACGTGTCATACCAACATGATTGTCTGCGTGCAGGTATATAATTCTCCCACATTGAAAACATCGTCTCCTTATAAAAAAAATACATACTTTCTCAATCCTATTAAATAATCATTTATTAATTTTTATTAATAAAAATAAAATTTTTTGTTCTTTTATTATTGAAAATATATTATTCAAAAGAATTTGAAAAAAATATATTTTTAGAATTTTTTAATCATATAAATTTTATAAAATAATAATTAAAGTTTACAAAAATTTAATCATCAGAAATTAATAAATAATAATTTTAATAGATAGAGATAGTGTTTATGTTGTAAATATTTTTTAATCTTAATATAAAACTTTGGAATAATGTTATAAAATGGGAATTTATTCTCACATTGAAGTGCGTGAGAGACACTCCCCAATTACATTGGAGTAATGTGATTATATTACTCGCGTAAGGTCTTTTTTGAAATTATTTCACGCGATACATAGTATTTATTTTAGTAATTTAGTATTATTTACTAAATTTTATTCGATGTCTATTTTTTTAATTTTAATAAATCAAATAATATGTTATATAAAATTTGTTATTCTATTTTCCAAATGATTTTTTTACTTTAATCCATCATTTTAACATCTATAAGCATATATTTTCAGTAGCTTCGTTTAAGTAAAAGTAGTGAAAAAATAAGAGTTGAATGGGGTAGGGTTATTGATGATGACATGGGAGCATGTGTTTTAAATTTGCAGGAAGCATGGCTGAAAATCAAACCCAAGGTGGGAACCCAAAGAAACTATTTAGGTTATTTGGGGTGAACCTTGAGTGCGAGTGCGAGTGCGACCTCCATCACTCATCTCATCCATCCATCCACCACTTTTACTCCCAATCCTACGCTCCAAACCCCCTGGTAAACAATGCATACCATTAATCTTTATTAATTAACTACTAAATATAAGTTTAATATATTATGGTGCTGCTTGTAACGAGACAGATTAACATTTGAAATGTTGGCCACTTGGCACGTGGCCTAATTGCATGAGTTTGGTTACTAAATGAAGATTAAATTCAGTCGTTTCCTTTACCCCAACCAACCTGATAATTTTGTTGCACGATAACTTAATTTAAGATTAAAAAAATTATTACTAGAAATATTAATATTTTTTAATATTTTCGATAAAATGTTATGTAAAATGTTATTTTTTTAGTAGAAACATTAATTTCGTTACTTAATATGAATATTTATGATATTAACATTTCCAGTAGAAAAATAATATTTTAGGTAGCTCCTGATATTAATATTTTCGATAGAAAAATAATATTTTAAATAACACTCTACCAAAAATATTAAAAAAATATTAATATTTTCGATAACGTATTACTTGATCTTATATTAAGCTAACTTTCCTTAGAAATTCCCCTACCAAACAAATATAATCAGACATTAATTACCCCAACCCAGCTGTCCAATTCAGCGGGATTTCTGGATAACTATTTTTTAGTATTTATAATCGACATATTTATTTATTATGTTAAACAAAGCATTGTTTAATTGATTGATAGATTGAAACACTAGAGATATTTGCCTTTGATTTCATCCATAGATTCAAGAGTCTTATAAAGAAAAACTCAGACAAGTAATGATGGAAATGGGGGAATGAAGAGTCCATAAAAGGCAGATTGTTAGTTAAATTCCATGTCAAGCAGAAATTGTAAGCAATGGGATACTTCTCGTGTTCGATAGTTTAGCTTAAAGTAATTTTTAATTTAAAATATTTTCCTATTTAATTTAAAAAATCATATAATTTGTATTATTTTCAATTGTAATAAAAAAAAGTTATATTAGGACGAGTTTAAAGCACATATTCTACAGAATTGGGTGATTACAATGTAATTTGTGATTGTAACAGGAGAGATATGAAGCAGATGGAAAATCAAAGAGGATAAAGATTTCAAGATGTTGACATTCATGGGTTTGACTTTGAAGGTCAAAATAAGAATATAATGAGTGAGAAAAAAGAAAGTATGAGTGTCCAATGGCTGTAATAGTGTCCCAAATATAACTTTTGCTGCTGTAAGTTGCAGAAAGCTTCAGAAATAGATTTACATTTTCATAATTTCCCATTCTATCTCTTTGCTCGCAGACCACATGGTCAAAGTTAAAACCTTGAAATTTCTTCTAAAGTGGTCCCCTCAAATGGATACAGAAGCTGATAAGCATGAAGCCCAATGGTGTGCGTTGAATAATGGCATGCACATGTTTGAGAGACAAATATGTTTAGAATCGATGAAAAGATCGCAGATATCTCTGCATTTTTATTATGGGACCAATGAGAGTGTGTGTCAAATGATTCATGAGGGCCCATAAGGATTTCAGACAAGAGAGCTACCCATTTACCTCCATTGGAAATGGTTATAGTGGCTTTGAGAATGGGAAAAGATCACCGGATCTTGTTTTTTCATCAAAGTGGGTGCCCAATCAGGCTATTCTCCAGCATACGATAAATTCTTTCAATCATGCGTAGATACCGTATAAATATAGGAACGCATTTGAATATTTCTTTCTCCTACCTTGCTTTTCATCTTCAATCAGGAATAGATTGACTGGGTGGATGAAGATATTTATTTATCTTAAAAATTTAAAATTATCATATATTTTAAGTATTTTCTTTATACTTTCTATTGATAACTTGTTTACAAAGCTCCTAAATTTTATAAGTTTGTCTTCTTAAAGTTTTATAAGTTTACCTAAAACATAAAATTATTTGTTCGTCCCTATCTTAAACTCTCTTAACATTTGCCTCAAAAAATTGAGCTCACTTTGAATTTCATTAGATAATTTTCAAGTTGAGTTAAACCTATTAAATTAACTTTGAGCATCTTCAAACAATTTGCGAGACTAACCAAGTGTTTATTATAATATTTTTAATATCAAATAATTAATTCACTTTTAATATATAAACATGTAAAGCCGATTAATAATGGTCGAATGCACCATAATAGGCTTGGTACAATCCATAGTAAATTGGGTCATACGTGTTTTTTGCTGCTGGCCAAAGGAACCAATGCGTCAGATGGGATTTGAGATGAAGATGACTGGTTGGGTTGGTTGTCCTGTATGGCTCTTTAAGATTCATTGCTGTCGATTCTTTGGGTTCAGAAGTGATCCAAGTTCATCACACCAGTAGTTGATGGGAACAAAAAAGTTTTGGAGATCGTAAAGAGTCTACCCTTTTGGTTTGGAAGGAGAGTCGTAGCCAATAAAGTTTTTGATGAATGGAAAGGTGCGGGAAGAAGGTTTGAGAGGAAGCTAATTCAAAAGGAGAAGAGGAGATTTCTCTTTTTGTTTGGCATAGAAATTTATATATTGACTTCTCGTGTATGTTTGTATCAGACTTAAGATCATGTTTTTTATCCATACACCAACAAAATATATAAATATGACCGTCAATCAACAAATATGACTTTAATAGACCTCTTATGTTTGCCAATAATCTTGTTAAGAATTTATAATTGGTAGAAAAATTTACCTTGTTGGAAGTTCCTCAAGAGGAAATCTTACTAAGAGGAGGAATGTTTTCAACGGTATAACAAATTTATTTTAATTTGAACTTGAACTACCTCACTAATCTCAAACAAAAATTAGAAAGGTAAATTTCGAATTGTATGTAAGTGGAGCTAAGCTCTTCCCAATTACAACTTCAGTTAAGTTTTCCAAATAAACAAAAACCTAATCAATAGTATCGAAAGCAACATTGATGACAAGTGTTTTAATTGTCAAATAAATAAACATAATTCTCAATTAAATAGATAAAATAAAATTGAAATAAAATAATATAAAGAAATAGGGTTGATCCACATAGACTAAGGAATTTCCAATTAAATCTGACTTGATCTCTAACCATAAAGTTTGTAAAATAAGAAAAAGGTTTATTGAATTTAATTGAATAAACTAAAATAAAAATAAATAATTGAAAGAGATAATGATAGGAGATAGCCTCTAGCTTCGCTTTGACTCGACTCGTCTCGATCCTTGAAATAAATTTTACTTTGAAATATTATCGGTTACAGTCTACAAGGCCCAACCCTTGTAACTTGCTATTCTCTTATGTGAATTAATCCCCTGAATCAATTCTTGAAAATTAATCCTTGTTTGGATTTAAATTCGACTATCAATGTTAGCGCCAATATCTTCTTTAATGCTGGAAAAGCACGTGCTTGGATTATGTGTCTCAGTGAGAATCAAACATGATCTTGATTTCCCTTAGCGGACTGCCCCTAAGTTTGTTCTTAGGGATTTGAATTTGCTACAAGCCGATTCCAACGATAAATCGAAACAACACTCATGCCAAGGTCCAATCTTTGACTTGAAAGTGTAAAAAATTTAAAGATTAAGTCGTTTACCTAACTTTATTTCACAGTAATATTTATATCCGAATCGTAAATTGTAGCTTCATGAGTTCAACGTTGAAACAATTTCTCGAACTCGAATATAAATATTAAATATAAATAATTATTTACATTTTTTTAATTTTTGAAGGATCATAATGATGTTCATATATAAGATGAGTTTTAAACGAAACACTTTGAGGAAATAAAGTGTTTGACATAACATAATAACAAGGCCTGCACAAACTATGAAGAAAAACTTATATCTCAAAGTAATGATTCAACCCACAAATAGTGCAAAGCTAAAATGGAATTTCAACTCTGCACCAACAACCTCTAAATATGGAGGCCCCATTTCATTTCCTTTCAGCCATTTTGTATTGTGCAAGTCATTTCAAATTAGGATGGATGCACGATTTTATATTAGGAGAGAAAGTTTAAATTTTTACGAGGACACAAATTTATAAAATTCTAGAAGAAATAAAAATAAATTTTTAATAGAAAATATATTAAAAAAATCTAAAATATATAATAATTTTCAGGAACAATCGCTCCATCCACTCAAAATATATAATAATTTTCAGGAACAACTGCTCTATCCACTCCCCTTAGTCCACTCAAAATCTCAACCTTGCAGATTCTTAGGAATCCCTTGGAGAGGCCAGAGAAAGATCCTCACGTCACAGCAGAAAAAACAATGTCCCGCTCCCATTCCAAAGAAAAGGACAAATAATTTCAAAATGGAGCATATACCACATTCAGTAATATGCATCTTAAAACATTTTGTTTAGATTAAAAATCATTGTAATATATTTTGTCTCTTCTTCAAGGTAACGGGGGAGATGAGTTTTTGTTGCTTTGCGTTAACATTTCATTGGACAAAATGTCACGCCATACTTTGGATTGTCGAAATCTTTTAGTGGTTTGAGTCTTTGATGAATTTGTCATGTGATTGGAGTCATCTTCGGTCGTTTTGGCTAGATACAACCGATCATCCTTAATTTTGGTATGTGTCTACACCAAGATTAAAGTCAGATTCAGAAGTTGATTACACATGAAAAAATTTAAAGCATTTCCACGACAACTAAAATTAGTGCATTAAAAAAACAGTTACCTCATTTTGTAAAAATCTCGTCCTGCAAGTTGCATAAATTCTGGGAATATACTTTGACGCAAGTCTTTGCTTCTCTAAGAACAGTACCACATTTTGTACAGTGATGCAAGACATGGCTTAGAAAAGAGGTTAAGCTAGATCCAAAAGTCATGACCTTAAATCAAGTAGAAGAGGACTCAAGTAAAATGCCCCAATTATTTTGGTATTTAGGTTGCGCAGGAGTCTATAAAATTCCCCATCTACCAAAATATAACACTTGAATAGAGAAATCAAGTATCAAAGGTAGGCACCTGACAACATGAAACAAACATCATATATGTGTTCAAGAGATCAAAAAAATTGAAGGAACTGGAAATTTTGGGTTTAACGTTCGTCGACACAAGCAGCCGACAACAAGCGATAATGATGAGTGGCACTAGTGGTAGGGGACGGTTAAATCTACAAGATAATGTGTTGGAATTATTTATTTCACGAGATAACGTTATCCCAAGATTAATTGCTGAAGTAGGGCGAATTGCACAGTGTTGGCCGTAGGTCGCCATGCCTTCCGGGTGACCTAAGATGTGGCAGCTTCCGACGAGGGAATGATCGTGTGCATGGGACATGCACAACCCAACCCATAGGTCGCCATGCACTCCCAGCGACCTCCTAGGTTGCCATGCACTCCGGGCGACCAAGGAGGTCGCCATGCACGCCCGGCGACCAAGCTTTTAACCCTCTGCACGCCCTGCATGTCATAGCTGGGAGATTCCTGCACGACGACCAAGCTTTAACCCTCTGCTCCCTCATGCATGCGTTGCATCCATAGAGCGGGACGTGCAGAAATATCACATGACCATGCAAGGAGACAAGGTCGCCGGGCGTGCATGGCGACCTCCTTGGTCGCCCGGAGTGCATGGCGACCTAGGAGGTCGCTGGGAGTGCATGGCGACCTAGGAGGTCGCTGGGAGTGCATGGCGACCTATGGGTTGGGTTGTGCATGGGACGTCTGAAGCTGCTACGTCGTAGGTCGCCCGGAAGGCATGGCGACCTACGACCAACACTGTGCAATTCGCCCTACTTCAGCAATTAATCTTGGGAGAACGTTATCACGTGAAATAAATAATTCCAACACATTATCTCGTAGATTTAGCCGGTAGGGGACTTCGATTAGATTCATGAGTTAAATTGATACTTTTTCAAAAGTTCAAGAGTTAAATTGATATTTTACTCAAATTTTAGAGCTTAAATTATAAATTAACACCTTCACTAACATTACACGTCATCAAACTAATGATATTTAATGTCTCAATAAAAATATTATAAAACGATAATATAAATGATCAAAACATTACTTTTTTTAATTAGTGATTAAAATAAAATAAAAATGATCATATTAATAGTTTATCCAATATTTAATGATAGAAAATTAATATTATTATAATTAATTTATGGGTAAAGTACATAAATAATCCCCTACTATAGGGTGATACTTTGTCAAGTCCCTCGACTATTAAAAGTTACAAAATGAACGTTTATACCTTGCATACGCAATGTTTGAACATGAAACCTCAAGGAATAACAACAAATCTCTTAATTAATGAAGTCGCTTGGTTCATGTTTTTTGTTGTTAGTTAAATCCAAACTTTTTCTTTAACTCTTTATAAATAAATATATTTGAATATCCATTGTTTATACTATAATCTCACAATGTAGCTGGCGTATACATATAAAGAATAAAGAGTTTGTCGAAATAGGAATTTGTGTGTGTGATTTTTTTAAAATGATTTGAGTTAATTATAAAATAATATTTATATAATTTTTTTAATTTTTTTAATTTATTGACAATGTACATACTCTACAGATGTTATTGTTCATGTTCTCTAGAGAAATCAATATTCCCTTATAATACCAAGATTTGTTGAAACATACACTCCAAGCATCATTCGTGAGTTTGATAGTAGAATAGAAGATTATTTAGCTGAGAGCTCAACATTTTCAAGATATAATTGAGGTTAATTAAAGTATTTAGAGACCTCTTAAAATAGTTATCTTTCAGCCTTATAATTTCATATGTCATCATATGTCCAATTACATAGCTATTTAATTAAAGAAAATTTAAATATTATGACTTATTTGTTTTTAAACAAAATTTTTAAATCGTTATGTAAATATAATATGCAACCAATTAAGATATTACTGTAAAATTATATTTGATAACCGATCAAATTGTTATCACGTAATTTTTTGACAATCACATTTTATAAATGTCAATTACACAATAATTATTTGACAGCCAATTAAAATATTACTGTAAATATTTTTTTTGACAATAATATTTAGTCGTTACACAATCAATTATAAATGTCAGTTGTAATATAATACTTCTTACCAAATATATTATTTAAGCACTTTTACCCTAAATTTAATAAATAATATTTTATTGTTGTGTTAGAGATATTACAAATACTTTTATGGTTATTAAAACAATATTTAGACAATCATGTCAAATCATTATGAAAATATATTTAACGACAATCAAAAGTAATTGCACTGTGTATACCTTATTATTTTTATTTGCAAAGTTGTTTAATATATTTTTAACTAAGGTACATGTAATGATTTTCTTTATTATAATAAAAAATTAAAATAAAAATTTTATAATTTGATATCATTTATTTTTTTTAATATAGTATAAATGATTACAAAGTAGTACCATTAAAATTAGTCAGTCGATTTACAATTCGGTATCATTTATCAATGGCATATCATCAATGTTAATAGTATTAAGAGTATGAATGAAAAATATTTTTGAATTTCGACTTTAAAATCAATTTACAAATAGTCAACTAGTATTTTGAGTCGTTATTATGATATAAAATTAAGAATGCTTAATTATCTCTCCATTATGAACAAAAATTCCTCTATACTGTGTCTCTCCCATAGTTGTATAAAACGTGAATAAATTATCTAACGTTAATTCAGCTAAAGCCAGAAAAGGAAAACTAAACAGCTGCCATATGAGAGTTGAAACGGCTATAATTAGCAAATCAAATTCCACAACTCTTTACTTTCCCTCTGTTTCAAATCAAAAAACATTACGTTTCGTTTTATTTACTGTTTCTGATGGATCTAATAACCCACCAACTTCCTTCTACTTCCGCCTTTATCAAGACACAGATTTGCTGCACTATCTGTTTCATCTTCATCTTGATCTCTTCCATAATCGTTTTGAACCTTGGGAGCTCTTCAAAGTCCATCCCTTTTTTCCGTTTCGATCATTTCTTCCCTCGGAAACCAATACCGAATCATTATAAACAACCCTGTGATTATTCCTACGGCCAATGGGTTCGGGTCAATGACAAATATAAGGTTCAGCTGTACGACGAAAACTGCTCGTTTCTCGATCCCGGTTTTCGGTGTCGTCAGAATGGAAGAAAAAACATCGATTATCTTAAATGGAGATGGCAACCCCATGGCTGTTATGTTCCTAGGTACGAGAGTTTAGTCATTTCCTTTGCCTTCCCTTCTTTCTCTCTTTCATGCATGCGGATTGACAACAAAATGGCAGAGTAAGTGTGGTTGTTACTTGTTAGGGTTGTTTAATTTCTTTCAACCACAGATTCAATGCCACCGATTTCTTGGAACGGAGTCGAAACGGACGGATAGTGTTTGCAGGTGATTTGGTGGGAAGAAACCAATGGGAATCCCTGCTTTGCATGTTAGCTCAAGTAGTTTCAAACAAATCTACAATCTTCGAACAAAACGGGAACCCCATAACCAAACACAAGGGCTTTCTTTCAATCAAGTTCCATGACTACAACTGTTGAAAGTATTAAAATTGTTTTCAAGTTTGGTAACCAACTTTGAAAAAATGGTTTTCAAAATTTGGTAAATGTTTCTTTGAAAATGGTTTTCAAAGTTTGGTAAATGTTTCTTTGAAAAATAGTTTTTCAAAGTTTGGTAGATGTTTGTTGAAAAAATGATAATGAGATAATCACAATTAATACCTAGGCTTTAGGGTGTTTACAAGATTAAGTCCTTAAGTTTCAACTATAAATACCCTAGCTCATTTAGCTTCAAAACCATTCCAAAAATCATTTCTTTCTCCCAATACTAGAGAGCTTTCTTGTGAGTAGTGAGTGTTTTGTAAACACCTGTAAATTTTCTCTCTTAGTAAAAGATCTGCAGTAGTCCGGAGACGTAAGCACAATTGGCTGAACTCCGTTATCAATTTCGGGTATTATTTTTCCGCTTTTATTTCGTATTCTCACTAATCTGGTAATAGGGAAATTACTTGTACTTTGTTTATTTCCTAACAACTGGTATCAGAGCTTTTTGTTGTGAATTCTGACAATTTTTGTGGGGTTACTATTTACGTGAATAGTGAATTTCGTGAATAGTGAAATTCGATCGGCGATACGAGTTTGTCGACGGAGGTGTTCTAATACACGACGGTTCACGGAAATTGTCAGAAACGATCCAAACGAAGCCAGATTCGAGTGGGAGCGATGGCTGCAGACGAAGGGAACGTGAAAATTGAAAAGTTCGATGGTGCGGACTTTGGATTTTGGAAGATGCAAATTGAAGATTTTCTATACTAGAAAAATCTATATCAACCCCTCTTAGGAAAATAACCAGAGGGCATGAAGAATGAAGACTTGGCACTTCTCGACAGACAAGCCCTCGGAGTTATCCGACTGACGTTATCCCGCAATGTTGCTTTCAACATAGCAAAGGAAAAGACCACGGCGGGTCTTATGACGGTTCTCTCCAGTATGTATGAGAAGCCATCGGCCTCAAACAAAGTTCATTTGATGAGGCGATTATTTAATTTGCGGATGACGGAAGGGGAATCGATGGCACAACACCTAAATGAACTCAACACAATCACAACCCAGTTGAGTTCAGTGGAAATTGAATTTGATGATGAAGTTCGAGCTTTAATTCTCTTATCATCTTTACCGGACAGTTGGAATGCTACTGTTACAACAGTCAGCAGTTCGTCGGGAAACAACAAATTAAAATTCGACGATGTTCGGGATCTGGTACTGAGCGAAGAAATTCGACGGAGAGAATAGGGTGAAGCATCAACCTCCTCAGCCTTGCACATGGAGTCCAGAGGGAGAACTTCAGAAAGAAATTCAAATCGTGGCAGATCGAAATCCAGAAGGGGAAAATCAAGAACAGGAAATAAAGATTTTACCTGTTATAATTGCGGCAAGAAGGGCCACTTCAAAAGAGATTATCGAGCACCGAAGAAAAATACCGGCGCACAGGAATCTGCCAACATGACGGAGGAGACAGGTGATGCTATGATTTTAAGCGTCAACAGTCCGATTGAATCATAGATTTTGGATTCAGGGGCATCTTTCCACTCTACACCATGCCAAGAAATCATGGAGAACTATATCAGTGGTGATTTTGGGAAGGTTCATCTTGCTGATGATGAAACCTTGAAGATCGTCGGAAAAGGAGACATCCGACTAAAGCTGCCAAACCAGACCACCTGGAAGCTGACAGGAGTGAGACATATTACTGGTCTCAAAAGAAATTTGATTTCTGTAGGACAGCTTGATGGAGAAGGATACAGTACAACCTTTTCAGGCTGTGAATAGAAGATTACCAAAGGAGCACTCGTCATTGCTCGTGGTAAGAAGACTGGTACTCTCTATGTAACCTCAAATTTAGAGAATATCATTGCAGTAGAAGATGTTGATGGAAAATCAAACCTATGGCACCAAAGGCTTGGCCATATGAGCGAGAAAGGAATGAAGATACTTCTGTCAAAAGGGAAGCTACCGGATCTAAAGAATGTAGATGTCGGACTATGTGAGGATTGCATCTTTGGCAAACAAAAGAAAGTCAGTTTTGCAAAGATTGGCAAGACACCCAAGGCAGAAAGGTTAGAATTGGTTCATACTGATGTATGGGGACCATCCCCAGTTCCATCTCTTGCAGGCTCACTATATTATGTCACCTTCATCGATGATTCAACAAGGAAGGTGTGGGTTTATTTTCTGAAGAAGAAATCATAAGTCTTCGATACCTTCAGAAAATGGAAGGCCATGGTGGAAAATGAGACTGGTTTAAAAGTTAAGCGGTTGAGGTCTGACAATTGAGGAGAGTACAAAGATAGTAGATTCATATATTTCTGCGCAAACAATAGGATCAAGATGGAGACAACAGTTCCCACAACACCGCAGCAGAATGGCGTAGCAGAGCGCATGAACAGAACTCTGAATGAACGTGCCAGAAGCATGAGGATACATGCCGGATTGCCCAAATTGCTATGGGCTGAAGCTATCAACACTGCAGCTTACCTGATCAACCGTGGGCCCTCAGTTCCTTTGGATGGCAGAATACCAGAGGAAGCTTGGAGCAAGAAAGAAATAAACCTTTCACACTTAAGAGTGTTTGGTTGTATTTTTTATGTATACATAAACTCTGCTGAAAGAAGTAAACTTGATGCCAAGTCCAACAAATGCGTATTTTTTGGTTACGGTGGTGATGAGTTTAGTTACCAGTTTTAGGACTACGAAAATCGGAAGATCATTAGAAGCAGAGACGTCATTTTCAATGAAAATGTGATGTACAAAGACAGGTCAACCGCATAATCAAGTAATACCGAAGCTGAAACAAAGGAATTTGCTGAGTTCGAGGAGATTTCTGGAAATGATGTTCAGATCAGTCCTGAAGCAGTTCAAGAGGAAGAACCAGACACACCAGAACTAAGACGCTCCTCCAGAATTCCTAAACCAACCCAACGATATTCTCCTTCTTTGCACTACTTGTTGCTGACTGATAATGGTGAACCAGAGTGCTATGATGAAGCAATGCAAGTGGAGGATTCAGTCAAGTGGGAGTCTTCCATGAAAGATGAGATGGACTCGCTTATGTCAAATCAGACGTGGGAATTAGCTTAATTACCACCAGGCAAGAAAGCGCTTCACAACAAGTGGATTTACAGGATCAAAGAAGAGCACGATGGGAGCAAACGCTACAAAGCGAGATTGATTGTCAAAGGTTTTCAGCAAAAAGAAGGTATTGACTACAATGAAATTTTCTCTCCAGTCGTGAAACTGTCTACAATCAGACTGGTGTTGAAAATTGTAACTGCAGAGAATTTACATCTTGAGCAGTTAGATGTAAAGACAGCTTTCCTTCATGGTGATTTGGAGGAAGAAATCTATATGAGGTAGCCAGAAGGCTTCATAGAGGCAGGCAAGAAAAACCTGGTATGCAGGTTGAAGAAGAGCTTGTATGGTTTAAAACAAGCTCCTAGACAGTGGTACAAGAAGTTCGATAGTTTCATGAGTAGCAGTGGTTTTACCAGATGCCAAGCAGATCATTGTTGCTACATCAAGAGGTTCGACAATAACTTTATTATTTTATTGTTGTACGTTGATGACATGCTCGTTGCAGGCTCAGACATGCAAGAGATTATAAACTTGAAGCAAAAATTGTCAAAGCAGTTTGCTATGAAAGATCTGGGCACTGCAAAGCAGATTCTTGGGATGAGGATCAAGAGAGACACAAAGTCGGGGACTTTGATATTATCACAGGCTGAGTACATCAACAAAGTACTCTCCAGGTTCAACATGCAAGATGCTAAACCAGTAAGTACACCTTTAGGTGTTCATTTCAGACTCTCCAAAGAACAGTCACCAAAGACGGAGGAAGAACATGCACACATGGTGAAGGTGCCATATGCCTCAGCAATTGGAAGTCTGATGTATTCCATGGTTTGTACCAGACCAGATATTGCTCAAGCAGTGGGAGCTGTTAGCAGGTACATGAATAATCCGGGCAAGGTACACTGGGAAGCAGTCAAATGGATCCTCAGATATCTGCGGGGTACCACAAACAAAGCACTTTGTTTCAAAGGTGGAGATACGATACTGACAGGCTATGTAGATGCTGACTTAGCCGGAAATGTTGACATCAGAATGAGCACTTCAGGGTATGTCTATACTCTAGGAGGAACCGCAGTGAGTTGGGTTTCTCAACTACAGAAGATAGTTGCTCTCTCCACAACTGAAGCAGAATATGTCGCTTTTACGGAAGCTAGCAAGGAGATGGTTTGGCTCCAAAGTTTCTTGGAAGAGTTAGGCAAGAAACAAGATAACAATGTCTTGTATTGCGACAGTCAAAGTGCTATACATCTAGCAAAGAATCCGTCTTTTCATTCCAGGACAAAGCACATACAATTGTGATATCATTTTATCCGGTCTCTTCTGGAATATGGGATTTTGAAACTTGAAAAGATCAGTGGAGCTCAAAATCCGGCAGACATGTTGACAAAGACAAACAGAAGTTGTGTTCAACTTCAGTTGGCATGCTAGAGTAACAAGACTAGAAAAGCTGTTGCATTGATCGAGGTGTGAAGACAGATTAAAATCAGTCTTCAAGTGGGAGATTGTTGAAAGTATTAAAATGGTTTTCAAGTTTGGTAACCAACTTTGAAAAAATGGTTTTCAAAGTTTGGTAAATGTTTCTTTGAAAATGGTTTTCAAAGTTTGGTAAATGTTTCTTTGAAAAATAGTTTTTCAAAGTTTGGTAGATGTTTGTTGAAAAATGATAATGGGATAATCACAATTAATACCTAGGCTTTAGGGTATTTACAAGATTAAGTCCTTAAGTTTCAACTATAAATACACTAGCTCATTTAGCTTCAAAACCATTCCAAAAATCATTTCTTTCTCCCAATACTAGAGAGCTTTCTTGTGAGTAGTGAGTGTTTTGTAAACACCTGTAAATTTTCTCTCTTAGTAAAAGATCTGCAGCAGTCCGGAGACGTAAGCACAATTGGCTGAACTCCGTTATCAATTTCGGGTATTATTTTTCCGCTTTTATTTCGTATTCTCACTAATCTGGTAATAGAGAAATTACTTGTACTTGGTTTATTTCCTAACAACAACCTCACCATCGAATACTACAGAACACCTTTCATAGCGTTCCTCGCTCGCCGCCCGATAACTGTCCCGACTCAAGTCAAGGTAATCGTTAAGGTAGACCAGTTGCATTGGCGTTCCAAACAATGGAAAGGAGCCAATGTCATAGTTTTCAATACAGGCCACTGGTGGAACAAAGAGAAAATTGCTAAGATGTATGGCTTCTTCTTGCTCTTGCATGTCATAATTTGTCCCTTAATTCTGCATAATAACACAATTTTGTGTTTTCCAGGGGGTGCTATTTTCAGGAAGGTAGGACACTGAATATGACAATGGATGTAATGGAAGGTTTTAAAAGTTTTCTCAAAACATTGATTTCATGGATAACCAACAACATTGATCCACAAAAAAGCCATGTTTTTTTCCGGAACCATTCTCCAGTTCATTACGTGTAAGTCTTACTAGTGAAAGTTGCATAGAAAACCAACAGTCTTTTTGGTATTTTACGAGCGAAAATTGCAGGAATGGCACATGGGATGGTGGTGGAGTTTGTGATGCAGAAACAGAACCAGAAAAGGAGCACAAGAAGCTTAAACCCGAGTCATTGAATAATCAATATATTGCTAATATAACCAAAGTAATGAGCAATGGCAATTCGAAGATCCGATTGTTAAACATTTCGTATCTGACCGGGTTCAGGAAAGATGGTCACCCTTCAAAGTACCGTGAACCAGGGACCTCAAGATTGCAGCCATTGGTGTCTGCCAGGTATACCAGACACATGGAACCCGATTCTTTATGCTCAATTACTTTCAATGGAATTTAGAGCCAAGTGATCCCAAAACTAACCGGTGATATTACCAAAAACAAAGTCAAAATTTAAAACTCAAGTGAACGTCAACTGAAAACTCGTTACAGCAAGATTATTCTTGAATGTATTTAAGCTTTCTAACTTAAATCATAGCTCATGATACCGCTTTATTAGGTCAAAATATAACTTAAAGATTTTCTTTTTTCCCTCATTTAATTTAGTATGTCATTTCTTTTAACCTATATTTGGTTGTTATAAGGTAGGATTTTATAGTTCAGGGTGGAAAAGATGGAGAATCCATTTATGGGTATGTTTATCCCCTCTTTTCACACTTCAAATTCGAAACTGCCCACGAATGTTATTTCTCATTTATTTAATGGGATAATCGTCTACTTTTCTTTTGGCTAATCAAGCTTTTAATTTACATTGTCATTTTTTTTCAATATGGTTTAATATGGTTTTGCCGTCTGTTTCTTCAATATTCTCCCCTGATTACTCCTACTACATATGTAACAATAAATATATATGCATACTAAAATATAATTTTATTTTATTATTTCTAATAAAAATGAATTTACACTAAAATTACACCTAGTTTCTGAAAATACGAAATAAAAAATTAAATAAAATGTCTGATGAAATTAATTAATCTTCACTCATACAAAAAAAATAGTTGGATGTTGAAGTGGTAAGTCATTGAGATTTGACTTTTAGCTATTAGGTTTGAATCCCAATAGTTGAAATGTTAATGGTATTTTTTCCTTCTCTTCATTAAAACATGTGACCCTACAGTTTAAATGTTAATGACTATTTTCTCTTTACGTGACCTAATCAGTGATACGTATTTTCATTTGATTACATAACAACATATAATAGAACAAGAATGGAAGAATATAGAAGAATTCGACCGGAATAATTTTAAAATTTTGAGGATTAAAATCAAATGTTTTAAAGTTTAAAACTAATATAAGATAAAAGTTATAATTCGAAGATTTCATGTACAATTAACTCTATTATTAATATTTTTTAATATTTTTTTGTAGAATTAGTGTGGATATTATATACATTCAGATTTGGTATTGTAAAACCCATCAAACGAATTCAATAAAAAAAAAGAATGTTGTTCCTTTTAGATATTATAAGTTCGAGCAGTTATATATAATATGTATGTAAATTATCAATAATTTAAAAAAATTGTATATATATTATTTTATGATCACATCATATTACTAATTTTTTTTCTTCTAAATTTCGAAGTTTCAAAGTCTTTGAAGACTTCATCTTTCCAAGATGAGAACAAAACAAAATAACTTGAAAACAAAAAACGTGTTACGATTTGAGGTTGATTTTGACATATTTTTGTTGCCATTAACGTCGACAAAGTCCAAAAATAAAAATAAATTCTCCATTTCTTTTTAAGATTTTCAAAAATTCCACCATAATTAATTTCGCATTTAATATAAGCTAACGAAAATACTCTCCTCCACAGATGCAGATAGCTGGTACAAAGTTGATACATAAATCAAAATAAAGTACATTTTATCCATTGAATCACTTAATTTAATGTAGGGTATACTTTTTTAATTCCATCAAATATACTATTTATGCTAACTTGTTAAATGGTTGTTAAAATGCATATACACGACTTTATACGAAATCTATTTTTTATCAAAGAAATTCAATTAATTTTATTTAGAGAATAAGTCATGTATGCATGTAATTCAACTTTTACATTAAAATTACTTAATGAAATTAACATAAATGATATAGTTTATTAATAATAAAGGTTTAAAATATAATTTCATGTGAAAAGAGAATAATAATTGACTATTAAATTTAGTGATTAAAATTAGCTTAGAAACGATGAAATGGCTAGAGTTCAAGACAACTAAAAAACCAAAGCAAAAGCCAGTACTAAACAAACCAAAGCTTGGGGTTTTCAGTTTACACCAAATGGAGCACATACATAGTTTCATGCAAAATGTCGCACCATTATTATTCATGCAAACTTGATTCTAACTCTTGAAGCTCTCCACATACACACATCACTAATCAACCGGATTCCAAAACCCATCCACATCCCAAAATGAATATTGGTGATCACCGGCATCGATCATCGTCGATGAGTCATCCTTTTCTCCTGTTTGAAAAGTTTGATTAATAGGGATTGACTCTCCGATCTTTAATATCCCTGGTGGTGGACGCCTATCGAATGACCTCAAACATTTTGATTTCTTATAGATTCGGCATAAACTGAATTCTTGTCTTAACTGTTAGAAGAAAAAAAAAAGAAAATCACATAAAATATATTCATTAATTTATGATTATTAGCAAGAACAAAAATCAATATCTTAAAGTGGCACTTTGGGAAGGTATTAAATAAAAAATTAAGACCAAATGAAGTTCTTCGATTGGTATTTATGAGATTAATTCAATTTTATTAATGAATATTTCATCTCTTTCGAGGGAAGTTTGTAAAATGTTGCCTGTCCAATAGTCCATTAAACTCTAAATAATTTATCAATATTATGTTATTAGTGCTTTATTTTTGGATTGTTGATTCAATATTACGAGAATAGTGAAGAGTTCACACCAATGACAACATTTGCATGGGAGGAGACATGATCTCATGACCTTAAGCTTACAGGTCATTAATGGGATAGAAAGTTGGTACCACTTGAGCTCTTTCACGGTTCTTATTCAGTCCAATTAATCATTCAAAAATAGAAGTTTTCTTAACACTCTTCAAAATTTCAAGAGAAAAACTTTCCAGGATTAAAATTTGTTGATTATAATTATTTTATATTGTCAGTAGTTAGTGGTTTACTCCTAATTTAGATGGAGAGTTGTTGTCGGCGAGAGAACGATCACTTATCGATATTTTGGAAGAAAATAAAGACAATAGTTCATCGTGGGAAGAAGAGTCCATGGTAATGAATGATTTAGCATCATCTTTTTCGATCTTAATTGAGGTTTTTATAGTGACATTTAGTGTTTTTGTTAATGGTAGGATTATTATGACTATTTGTAGGTTGATAGACTAAGTAGATATGATAGCCATATCTTGGATTTCGCTTTGACAGATCACGTGTATATGTCAGAGATCATGTCTAAAGGTTTTATCTTTGCGCTGCAGGTGGCTCGAAGATTTCTGTAAGAAGGAGCTAAGTTTTTTTGAGGCTCCAATGAATGGAGGAATCAATTTAAGTTTAGGGTTAACTAAGGGTAAATAGTTTCGGAAGATCATTTTCAGAAGTATATCAAAATTAACGACATTAAATATATATATACACCTTAAAAATACAACATAGAGAAGCTTAATTAAGAAGTAATGAATTTGAAGGAAAACTTACAGTTGGAGGTGCAGTTCCATTAGCGGAGGATGCTTGGCCTTGAATAGCTTTATATTCGTTCATTTTCCAGTCAGTTTTCTTCCCATTAGGGGCTCTTCCATTGTAGAAGACCATGGTTCGCTTTACGCCGATGGGGCGACTGTTGAAAGAGTAAACGTAACCAGGAGAGCCAGTGGCTTTCCAATACCCACATGTTGTGAGCCGCTTTGGTCTCCCTCCTCGAGCTTCACTCTCTTGCCTTGGAATGAAGAAAAACCATTGCTCTGGGTCATTATGACATAGGTATACTGAGAATTCTGCAAATTAAATATCAGTTCATGAGAAAGTATTTATTTATGTAAATAAAAGAAAAACATAAAATATTAATCCCCTTGCTACTTTTATTCACAAGCAATGAAGCAAATACTGGGAAATCTTTGGGAGGATATTCAGAAACAGAAAAGGGATAGTTAAATTGAGAAGAGAAGAAGAAATATTTACGAGGAAGATCCCATGGATTGTAATCGTAAACGTCGACAACTGGTATAACGCGGTTCATAACATCGTTGAGATCGCCTCTGTTAGCTTCTAACTTGTTATGGAGATAAAACGAAACCAACTCTTCTTCAGTTGGATAGAACCGAAATCCTGGTGGCATATCCTCCATTTTCACTCTCCTTACTCTCTCTGATATGTTTGCTCGCTGCTGGTGTTCATTCATGGCGACCATGCTATTATGTATATATATATATAGTTACAGTTGTAGTTTCTTGAGCATTGACTAATGGGGACGGGGGAGTTGGGAAATGGAGAAGAAATGAATAAGAAAGGAGGAGACATGGGCATTACTCAGAAACTTCCCCGCGCTTTACCATGGAAATGAAAACCTCTATCAATTCACACTAATTATTATTATGGTCTAATTCTGTATTTCATCACTCTATTTTATAGAAATTGAAATTTAGTCCATTAATTTAATTTTTATATTTTAAAAAATTCAGTTTAATAGTTTAAACCTTCTAACTTAATTGCTATCTTGAAAATTAATAATTCATTAATTTATATGCAAGAAATTAATAAAATATTAACATTTTATACGCAATAAACTAACAAAAACCAGCCATTTCAGTTTATGTGTTTATCAAAAACTAATTTATTTTTCAAGCTTTGTAAAAAAAAATGGATTCTGACATTATTAATTTGTTCAATTAACGGACTAATTGTTCAATTTTTGTGAAGTAGAGAGATGAAATTGAAATTAGACGTATTATTAATTTGTCAACAATGTTGCTTGGAAGCGGTCAATATATTCGCGTGAACAAATCGACATTTGTCTCTGTCTTTGATGCTGTAGGAGTGAATAAACAATAGATTTCTATTTTGTACGTAAATTTTATTAGACTTGTTAATGATATGTTGGCAGTTCAGTTTTTTAAGTTATATTTAGATTCGAATTTAATTTGATTTGATATATTTTAATTTTTAATATATATTATAGCATATTTTTAAAATTTTGTATTATTCAAAGTGAAAATTATTATTTTTTAATATATATTATAGCATATTTTTAAAATTTTGTATTAATACAAAATTTTATTCAAAGTGAAAATTATTATTTTTTAATATATATTATAGCATATTTTTTAAGTTATATATATATATATATATATATATATATATATATATATATATATATATATATATATTAAATTTATATAAATTTTGATTTAATATGTAATATACATAAATTTTTATTTGATATAATCATACATTTAAAATTTTAATTTTCGTTTTTTTTCTATTATACACATAATTTTGATTCAATTGTATAAATAATTAAAGATCCATCTTCCTTGGAAATGCATTTGACCATATAGTCTGCTACTTGATTAGTTTCCAGGATGTATGAAGTTATTATATTATTACAAAAAATTAAAATCATTTCCAAAACTTCTAGGGAAGATAAAAAGCTTCACAAACATAATTGCATGAGTGAAATATTATGTAATAAAAATAGAAAAAAATGTAAATAAAAGGCATGTGGTTGTATTTAAATATTATTTACGAAAACAAATTATCCTTAAATATTGACCATATAAAATATGTTACGTGAGTTTTACATATTTATGACATGTGTTAAAAAGAGGTGAGAACGCCGACGCGCAATACATTTTAGTAAAAAGGACCAGATCTTTTGATTGTTTCGTTGAACCTTCAAGTGCTTTTGAATTCTTCTCCGAAACAAAGGTACATGAAATGCCTAGTTAAAGCATGTTATCTTCTTTTATATCATTAATGTATTAATTTTTTTATTAATCTTAGGCTTATTAAATAATTTGATATGATTATAAGATAATATCTGATTAGATGTTTTCTTAATATATTAACAACATATATATAACCATTCGAATTTAAAATCTATACACTCTCATTTATCAATAAAATCATTCAATAAATTCGATATTAGATTTTATAACAGCATTTAAGTTCCCACACTGTTGTCCTACCTTTTACACTACCACTTTTTCCAGTACAGCTTTTTATTTCTCCTGCGCCTAAAGGAAATTAAATAATTTTTGAAGTAAGAGCCACCACTTTTAATCTATTAAACATAATTTATGTATTATTGGCAACCTTTCATATGTAACTATTGAAATATTGTATACATTTTAAAAATATTCCAACAATCTTCCCATATTTTCAAAATATTATACACCTTTTTTTATAATCTTGAAAATCAATGGTGTCTTACGATTCAACCTTCACTTAACGAAAATACGTTTTAAAGTTAATAAAAGAATCCATGGTAAACTAAGCTTTGAACCAACTATTCCACTAATTATATATCTCCGGTAAGAAATTTGTTCAAAAGATCCATCAAGTTTTCACTTAACCTTACAAAATCAATAGCAATCACCCCATCGGATATAACTATTTCTTAATCTAATATATCTAGATTTTTCGTTATACATTTAGCTAATATCTTTACAACGAATAGAAAATTAGTGGAATTGGTTTAGGCCATAAAGCTACATCATAAAACAATTTTCTTTACCATTCAACTTCTTAACATGATACATTCGATTTTTTTTAAATGATGTTTTGTATGATTTTATTGAACCAACACATACAAAATAAGACAATCGATATGAGCCTCGTTAAAAAATCTTTCTAATCTTAGATGGAAAAAAAAAGAGTGCACCATATCGATGTTAAAACAACAATAGACTCGTACACGAGTAAAACCCAGCAACATAACCAACCCACACAGATACAGATGAGGAATCCAATATAAACAAAACATCAGACTGCATCACCCAAACATTGACAGGACGAGGACTCCACTTCCCCAAACAACAAGAAACGATAACTCATGAAGCTACAATTTACGATTCAGCAAAATCTAACCCCGGACACACCTACTGGAACAATGAAGAGAACAACAATATCTCTCCCCAATGGCTTTGAAACCTCAACAACATCAAAGCAGCAACTGTCAACCAGAATCTCAACATCACAAACAAACAACTGGAGACCAATCTGCAAAAACACGAGGCTCCTAACAGGGAAAACAAAGCCAATAACAGTGTAAGGGTCCTAGCAGATTCTAACAATAATCATCGCAACTGCCAATGACCCTAGCAAAGACTAACAAAAACAACAAACATTCGAGGTAACCACCAATATATAACAACCACTCATAGAATGCTACCAACGATAAGACTTAATATGCAGGTTTAGGCACTCGCACCAATTACACCTGTCACAACAGTCTTTCGGGTGGGTCCGGAATTGGACTTCAACTTAAATAAAACACGTTAGAGTCGCCACCGATCGTTTTAAAAAATATTTGGGTTGATCGGACATCATCTTACCTGATCTGCATTTTACCATAAATATGTCGGATTCGGGAGTAGGTTACAGTCAAGGAATGATTAGCACCCTTGAACTGCCCTTTCGGTACCATTTTAATTTCTCGGTTGTCTTAATTGCAAAAATTAAAATTAAAATTTAAAGATTCGATTCAAATTACTTACCTTTGATTGAAAATATTCCCCTAAAAAGTCAAAAATGTTAGAAATAATAATAATAATAATAATAATAATAATAATAATAATAATAATAATAATCATTAAATAAATCAAAGAGAAAATAAAAAAAAAGATTAAATTAAAAAATAAATAAAAATGTTAAATTTTAAAAGTAATAAAATATAAAAAATAGTAAGAAGTAAAAAAATATAAAACAATGTTTAAAATAATAATAAAAAATGAAAAAATATGATAAAATTAAAAGGGGGAAAATGAATAACTAAAAAATTTAAAGGATCAAATTAAAACAATTTGGAATTTATGGATCAAATTGATACTAAAAATGAGTTGCAAGAGAAAAATAAAAGGTTAGGGGGCTAAATCGCGAAATATAATAAATATAATGAAAGATTAAATTGAATTAATTGAAAATTCAAAGGCAAAATTAAAATATGTGACCAAAACGAATTACACATCAAAGTTAGAGGGACTGCGGAAATAATTTAAGAATTTGATATTTAAACTTTAGTCCCTCACTTATAAATACCTAAAAACCCCAAAAATATCATTTTAAACCAAAACCCAAAACAAATATTTTACCTCTAAAAAAAACTCTCAACCCTCTTCCCCGAAAACCATCCAACCGAAGGTCGGTCACCTTCCTCGGCCACACTCCGCCGCTCGACCATCGCTTTCGGTGGCCGAAAAACCAAACTCACTTAAAACACTTTCCTTAGCCCAATAAGATCGAATCCATGACCAAAATCTTGCAAAAACCCCTCGAAAAGCGTAGATCTACGCCCAAAGTTTCGATTTTTTACCTTGAAACCGATGTGCGTTCACTTTCCGACGACTCCTCTTCTCTCCAGCCAACACCGACGCACGCACTGTTTTTTTTTTTACTTTCTTTTTTTCTTTCGAATGTGGTTTTTGGTTGATTGTGTTGCTGTGTAGTTTCGATTTCTTCCTCCGTTTTGCTTGATGTTGTGATGGGTATTTTCATTGTTTTTTGTCGTGTCCTTTACTGTGATTCATCGGTGGCTTTTTATAACCCCTGGAAATCGGTTGCAACCCCAATTTTGTTAGGATTTAGGTGTGGCCGACTCCCTTAATATGGTGTTCGTGGTTGTTTGTGGGTTGACCGAAAACCTTGGGATAGTGCAGTCTCAAGTTCTTCGGTCGGACGTCTCGGTCGATTTCTATTGTGGCCGGCGGCGCTGCTGTCACATTGTGTGAAAACCCTAGTTTGATTGGGCTAGGTCAGGCCCGGTTTGATCCCTTGTTGGACTGGACTCTAATTTGGACCTAAAAACGAAAATAAAAAATAAAATAAAATAAATAAGTGAAATAAATAAATAATATAAATAACTAACTAAAAAATTATACATTTTCAAAACCTCTTTTAAAAACTATATTATATATTTTCAAAATTATTTTCGAAACTATAATATATATATGTTTTCACAAATTGTTTTTCAAAACTATATAATATATTTTCAAAAATCGTTTTCAAAACTATATAATATATATTTTCAAAAATCATTTTCAAAACTATATAATATAGTTTTCAAAAAATTGTTTTCAAAACTATATATATATTCAGAAACCGATTTTTTTTAAATGTATATATTATATGTTTTCAAAAACCGTTTTCTAAAAATTA